TGTGTTTGTATGTAATGTTTGCATTTGATTGCCGGGGTGTGTCTGGATGTAATGTTCACACAAATGTACGACATTTAAAAGTGAAGTATTTGTATTTGAGAGAAGGGGTGTGTTTGTATATTTTTGGGGAGTTTGAATGCAGGGGTGTGTTTGTCGGTGTATGTAATATTTGTGTTAGATTGCAGGAGTGGTGCTTGTATGTTGTGCTGGTGTTTGACTGCTTGGATGTATGCACATACACTACCACATACATGCATACATACTTACACAGATATTCATGTAGCCTAACACACAGATACATATAATTACACCGACACATACACACAAATTCATATAGACACATACACACATATAGATACACACCAATACAGATGCACATACACAGATGTGTGCGCACACACAGATACAGAAGCACACTGACATATATACACACATACAGATGCACACACTGACACACACACTCACAAACACCCTGACACGCACACACACACACACACTCATACTCAAACACACTCATACACACACACACACACACATACACTCATACACATACGCACACACTCATATTCACACTCATACACATACATGCACTCATACTCACACTCACAATCATACACATAAAAACACTCATACTCATACATTCATACTCATACTCAGACACACTAACACTCATACTCACACTCATACACATACATGCACTCATACTCACACACATACATACACTCACAATCATACACATAAAAACACTCATACTTATATATTCATACTCACACTCAGACACACTGACACTCATACTCACACATACACATATACACACAGTAAAAATGAAAATCCAGCGCACTCCCTTATCTACTAAACAGCTACTTTGGTGCTGACCAATTTTGTACGTTTTATTAAAACCACCTAATCTAGGCAAAAAATAATGGGGGTTTAGTTACATTATATGATTATACATTGCATAAGCCTGCCACAACGTCAACGTACCCCATCTTTGGCAGGTCCTACTCTAAAAGCCAACTGTCTGCTACTCACTTGGGGAAATCCTTCCATCTCGAGTTCTCTGCAGAACATAGCTAAATAGGGTCCTGAGACGAGGCACCTGTGACAGGGAGGGGTGCAGAACCAAGGAGCTGGCTAGATCCCTATATATATATATATAAGAAAACAAGGGGTTGGCTGCACACACCTGAACATGCTTAAATGGGGTGCTGCTGGGGGCCAATAAGTACAGTAGAAGTACAAGTGATTTTTTTTTTATATCTCCTGTTAGCTTACCTTATGTGTCCAGGAGGGTGGCTTGGAGTCCTGCGGGCTAGTGTGAATGAGGGGTCTGGAGCAGCTCCTTTTTATTTGGAACAAGAAAGTGGAGACATCGTTTCGGCTCCTTACTGAACCTTTATCAAGTCTCAGAATTGACTTGATAAAGGCTCAGAGAGGTGCCGAAACATTGTCTCCACCTTATTGTTCCAAATAAAAAGACTGCTCTTAGAAGAAAGCTCAGGTGTTCTTGGATATTTATTTTTTTCTATTTCTTATTAATCTTTATTTTGGCTGTTCCCCGATCATTAATAATCTATTTTTTTTTTTTTTTTTTTTAACATCTTCATTGGAAAAGTAGAGCCAGACCCCATGATTGGGCAGACTTTGTTGTGCTGGTGGTACAATATAACAATGATTGCACTGTTACATAGTGTGAAACAAGACAAGAGTATTGCATCATATCAAGACATATCTTAGAGTCAGCACTATTTTTATATCGCGGAAAAGTAAACAAACAAAAAGTACCTGGAGTGACATGCTAGCGACTCAAGGGTATACATGTGTCTCGGGGTGAGTGCCGTTCTTGTGTTAACCACCATGTAGAGTTACCCTAGAGAGGGGGAAGGAAAAACAACAGTGTGATACGTTAAGTCAGCTTGATGAACATACTGAGTATTTGCAGTGGGCAGGGGGAAAATCGAACTGAATGGGTTGGACCCTTACAGTAAGGGGTGAATATGTATCACCTTTAAAATTTCTCCTGACCAAGGGAGCAATGGGGGGGATTGGTAAAGGCCCATTTTATTTATTTATTTTTATTTTTTTGACTAAAATAGCCGAGCTGAAAGAATTAAGTTTTTGCCAGCGGTGATGTAGCGGAATTACTAGCGAGGGAGGAGAGTGGGTGATTGCCAGTTGCTGCTCCCCCACGTCGCTTCCTCATGGGCTCAGTTTCACTGGGTATCTGTTTCAGAGCGTATTTCAGGCTAACAGGGTTGGTATAGAACAATGGTAAACCCACAATATTGAAAATAATGTGTAGGTTTAAAAAAATGACTTATCTATATAGATAAAATACAGCTTCATCTCAGGATATTCCAGACAGTTGAATTAAACCTAGCGTAGAATAACCTATTTTAGATTGTGATACAATATTATACTGTTTTATTTTTCTGTAGATCATCAGCTGTGTGGTGGACCACCTGGCACCTGACTGAGTGCTTCCGCCAATCGCTGCTTCGTAGTAATTGTGAGCACCATAATGACCGCACTGGAACACCATAACCACCATAAACTCCACAGCCAGCATTACAGCTTGGTTGGGGTCTCGCTGTCCTCCACCCACCCTGGACCCAAGATCAGGATCCAGCTTCCAGTGGGTAGACCTCTCCCAATCCAGAGAGTAAAGCAGGGTACCTCTTACAAGAGCTAGTGATTATAATCCAAGGGAGTATAATGCGTATAGCAATCCCGAGAGTGAATATAGCTGTTCCCTCCACACATGAAATGAGGCTCTATGTTGAGGGTGAAGAGGAACTGGTTTAATGGCAGCCACAACTGGCCTTATATGCAGGTCCCCATGCAAGGGGTTTACTCTAACATATTCCAGGGGCATTATCACTGGACCTGAGAGGGGACTATGACAAAGTACACACTTTACTTACATTGGCTCTCAGGTCCAGGACACTCCCACACAAAACAGGGTAATCCCTCTCCTGTGCCTGAAAGATAATTGAGTCAGCAACTGTACTAAACTCAATTATTTCCAGGCACAGAAACTATACATTCAAACAACATCCTGAAAGTACCCCCAAAACACATGGAAACCCCACAAAAGTCACATCCCCTAATAGCCCCGATCTGGGGGACCAACACATCCAAAAATCACCCAGATCAGTTCAGGGGTTTGCGATTTCCATGAAAGTCCTAGTTTTGACTGACCGTGCACATGGTTTTATGCCCAAAACAGTTCCAGGGAATCACGGCTAACGGTCGGTCTCTTTCTCTGGAGTACAAAAATAGCATAAATCACCTGAATGGAGCCTTTTAAAGTGCATTGGGCAAGGTATTTTGGAGGGCCCATAGTCCTAAGGCAGGAAGCTGGCAAGCAGGCTCCCCCAGGAGCCCGTGGCGAGGTTCTGTTCACCACATATCTCCCCCCCAAGGGAAGACTAACCAGTTACATGACCTGCTGCCGGGCAGCCCACCCAACAAGTATCTGAGCTGGTGACCTCCGTTGCCCAGCTCTGTCCTATATGTCCAAGGCTGCTGAGTGGGCTCCGTCACCCCCGGTCTCTCTTGTACTCCCAGGCATGGAGTTGTGAGTACTTGGTGGGCAGAGGTCAATGGTGCTCTGCCCCATAGGCAGCATTGCAGCTAGGTAGGTCAGTGGGTAGTCAGGTCCCAGGCCAAATGGACCGGTAGGGCAGAGACCAGTGCTGTTCTGTCCTGTATGCATCGCTTCTGCTGTGGGAGCCTGCTGGGCATCAGGCACAACAATACGGGGACAGGTAAGGCAGAGGCCAGTTGCGCTGTGCCCTGGTGCCAGCTCTTCTGCTGAGATGGGTTTAGTGAAGACTGCCATCCTTTCCACTATTTCAAGAGCTGGGGTGGACATCTGTTGTGGGGAAGTGGGACCGGTTGTTTCCACCATCAGGGGCTCCCCCTTTAGTGGGAAAAATGGACCATCTGTATCCTCTTCCTGTACCTCCTGCTGCCACTGGGACGGGGAACTGGTTGTCGTCCCCTCTGGTAACGTCAGCTGCAGTTGGGGATCTGGGCCAGCTGCCCAACATCCCTGTAGGGCCAGTGGAGAGACCTCGGTCCCATCTCCACTTGCCAGTTGGAGTTCCCCCTAGGACCATTCTATAAGGTCCCCCTGTAATTGGGAAGAGGGACCAGCTGTCTCTTCTTCCGGTATCTCCGGCTGCTGCTGTCAAGAAGAAATGGTTGTCTCCTCTCCCTGCAAGGTAAGCTGCCGCTGGGGAGTAGAACTGACTGTCCCTACTCCCGGTAGCTCCGGCTTTGGTTGGGGTTGTGGGCCGGCTGCCCAACATCCCTGTAGGGCCAATGGAGAGATTCAGTCCCATCTTCACTGTTCAACTGGGGGTCTTCCCCCAGTTTATGAGGTCTGTAATTCTGGATCTGGTAGTGAAGCAGGGGGTACCTCAGCCAGATCTCCCCAGCTGTAATGTTGTAGGTCTGGGTCTACTCATATCTGGTATGAGTCTTCTAGCCAAAGCTCCTTCCATACCAGGCTCTTGAGCTCCATCACCCACTCATCCAGGGGCTCCTCTTCCAGGAGAGGCATTCGCAGGTCAGGGCCTCTGCTGGTATGTCATCAGGTCCAGCTGCCTTCCTGTTCTTCATCAGGGTGCGACCTTTCCGGTCTCTTCTCTAGTCGGCTTGCCGCAGTTGATGGGGAGATCTTTGTTGGCTGGGTTTATGTCTGGTGGATATGGTGGTGCTGGTCTGTTCAGGAGCTCCTCAAAGTGTTCAGACCATCTATTCATTTGCTGCACTAGTCCTGTGATGACCTTTCCCTCCTTGTCCTTGACGGGTCGTTCTGACTTGCTCTACTTCCCAGACAGTTTCTTAGTCATGTCGTACAGCTGTTTCATGCTGCTGTTGTATGCTGCCAGTTCTGCTTCAGCTGCCAGTCCATCTATGTAGTCTTTCTTGTCCTTCATAATGCTCTGTGGGCTTCTGCATATTCCACTTGGACCTTGGCTTTTTCTGCCCTAGTCCTGCTGTTTTTTTACTGCCAACTTCTTCTGCTTTCTCTCTTCTAACTTGCCCAAGGTTTCAGCTGTGATCCACTCTTTGTTGTGATGTTTCTTTGCTCTGACCACTTCTTGACAGGCTGTTCTCAGTGTCTCTTTTATTTTCTGCCAGCTGTCCTGTACATCGCTTCTTTCCCCTTTCTCATGCAGCTCGTGTAGCACCTCAAACTTGTTCTTCAACTGAAGTCCAAGCTCCTCCCTGACGCTGGTGATCATTAGGCGGCTGACATCATACTTCACTCTACACTGTGTTGTTTCCACATCTGCTCCTCTTCTAACTCTAACATCCTGCAGGGATCTTCTAAACTTCTTGCTAATGCAGATGTGGTCATTCTGGTTCTCTGTCACACTATCTGGTGATACCCAGGTGTTTTTGTGGATCCACTTGTGTAGAAAGATGCTACCTCCAATGACCAGGTTGTTAGGCGCACACAATTCCGCAAATCTCTCCCCATTATCGTTCATCACTCCCAGCCCATGTATCCCCATGACTTGTTCATATATCCTGCGTTGTTCGGTCCAATCTTGGCATTGAAGTCTCCCATAAGGATGACGATGTCTCTGGCTCGGAATGATTCTACAATTTTCTGCAGTCTATTGCAGTCTTCTTCAGAATCATTGGTTGGAGCGTAACTCTGGATGATTTTGAGCTGAACCATCTTCTGCTTGGTTCTGAAGGATGCAGTGATGATTCTGGGGCCATGCGCCTCCCATCAAATCAGTGCCCTTTCTGTGTCACTCTCTTCCTGCCTAGAGTACAGCAACAGCTCTCCTGTCATCAGTCTTCTCTGTCCTGCTTGTGTCCATCTGGTTTTGCTGATGCCCAGTATGATCATGTTGTTCTTCTTCATCCCGGCAGCTACCTGCTTTATCTTGCCTGTCTTGTACATGGTCCTTACATTCCATGTGCTGATGTGGGTTCTCCTGGTCGAAAGAAGGGTAATTGGCTCGGTGGCTTCCTTTCGGCTTGCGTCTCCGAATTGTCGGATGTCCTCCATCTTCCAGGAAATTAGTCTCTCTTTTTTTTTTTGGTGTTTTCCAGGGTGAGCTTGCTAACCCCACGCCTAACCCTCCTCCTTTTTCATCCGGACTTGGGACCAGCAATGGCGGGGTTAAATTCCATGGAAGTCATAATTTTGACCAAATGTGCACATGGTCCTATGTCCAAAACAGTTCCAGGGAATCAGGGCTAACTGTCGGTCTCTCTTTCTGGAGTACAAAAGTACATAAATCACCTGAACTGAGCCTTTTAGAGTGCATTGGGCAAGGTATATTGCAGGGCCCATAGTCCTGAAGCAGGAGAATGGCAAACAGGCTCCTCCAGGAGCCTGTGGCAAGGTTCCATTCACCACAAGCTGTATCCTCTGTATTCTGTTTGGTGAGGGTTAGTATAGAGCCTGGTGACATTTGTGCAAGAGGAAGTGTGGAAAAGAAAAAGGAAAAACAAAAAGCAAGAACATAACATGAACATTTCACCTTTTTCCTCACAGAGATGCTTTGAATCAATGCATCTCTATGGGGTGCGTTCACCGTCTCCATGCAAAATGTGGAGATGCTGAATTCCACTGGACTAGGGCACACCTCTAGTGGCCATCTGAGTGACTGCCACTAAGGTGTTACAATGCTGCAATGTAAATATTGATAAATCTCTGAAAAGACATTGGTTACATTGAAAAGCCATCAGGGACAGGCTAAAGACACCAGAACCACTAAGTGTTCCTTTGATGGTGCTTCTTCCTGATGAGGTAGGGGTTTGTAGCTGCACAGCTGAAAGAGGCTTTCTGCAGCTATAGGCCCCTACACTCAGCAGGAAGGTGGGTATAAATGTTGTCTTTGTTTCTGTTCATTTGTTTGTTTGTCTTTTTTTCCATTATCTTTTAATGCATTAAAACAGGTAGTTCATGTTAAAAAAACAATTGCAATTCTGCACTTTTTCCTACACTACAATGAGTTAACATTTATAGAAATTAAACTGACAGACATATTCTTAATGACTCTTTCTTTCCAATTTAAATGCTATAAAAATAAGGTGTAAAAGGCTCAGAAGTGAAGATAATTCACATTGACTTTGTTGATCTACGTGAAGTGTTTTTCCTGTAAATGAAGAGTGCTAAGCAGTTAATTGGTTTAGATGAAAAAGAAATGAGAGCGATGACAGCATTCATTAAAGCAGACAATAAATTGCAAGTGCAGAATATTCTGCCAAATGTAGTTATTTCATACTAAAAATACATCTGCGTTCTTGCACCAAACTATTTCATATATTTATATTACTTTTTGATAATTGCTTTAGTTAACAAAGTTAGCACAGCTGTATTAACCTATGAGCATCTATTAAAAAAGCAACAGAATAGCTTGCAATATATTTAATTCCAGTTGCTAATCTGATTATAAAGGGATACACGATTGCTAAACGTCAGTTTTATATTATATATTGATAATCAACAAAGTAAGATTTAGTGTAGTATTTGACAGCTGCTAAAATAATATGTTTGAAATATTACAAAATATTTTGTCAGCTTTTGACAAAATCTACTTTGATTACTTTGATTTAATTTGATCATTAGCACTATGATCTAGTGACTTTCTAGACTAATGTGTGAGTGTAACCCCGATATAATGATGCCTTTAAAACCACGGTACTTACTGTATTATAATTTAAAACACTAAGTATATATATTAAATGGGGAAACTGTCACTTCTCTGGAAGCATCCTTTCCTTGTTTCCCAATCCTAATAAACAATATTGAAGGGTTTACCAATGAGAACTAAGCAGCAATGATAAGGTAAAAAAACTTTCTAATCTCTGCTGCACTTGTGTGTTTTGGATTGTCTCACCTTTGCATGGTGATTTGGGCATAATCTTGTATGATTGGGCAGATACACAGAAATGTACGGCATATACACATGAGAAACATTTCACAAACTTAATAGAACATTCAATTCTAGGACAATCCAAAACCCATATGGCTATTACATAAACATTAACATCAATACATATATTTTATATTTTATAATGAGTGCTGGATGCATATCTTTATGCATAAGAGTGAATAGCTTGTGAAATTATTTTTAGTTCCGATGAGTATAATTGTTTACATCAGTTGAATATTAAATGGTATTACAGGGTTGCAGTTGAGTTTCCAGGTTCAAATCCACTTGAAAAGTACTTTTTTTTCTTCTTCATGTTTTGGTTTGATTAGTGTTAGAATGTAGAGTTATTTCGTTCCTTTGGTTGCGTATCAGTCCTACTTTCTTATCTAGAAACTTAACTGCTGACCACATTAAATATAACCCCTTAGGTATCCCACTCTTCCCAAAAATAAACAGACGCACAACAAATTTAGGAGGGTAGGACAATTTAAACCTTATGCCAGCTTAGGCATGTAACAAACTGCCAGATGTCAGCTAGATGACCAGCAGGATGATAATCTTCCATAACATTCAAGGAGTCCTCTTCAAATTGCCTCCTGTTTTCAACCAAAGGCAAGTTGCAACTCCCTATGCCCGTTATGGCAACGTATGCTAACTCGACATAGTAGCTGTGACTCAAGAGAGAAAAAGATAGACAAACACACCAACTGCATTAACATTAGTCAATAAAGAGGGGGCATTCTCTGCTTGGCTCCCTCAGCAGGTTCTCCAGCCAACTGTGAGACGTTCTCAGTGTGCTGTATACCAGGTAACCCCCATAATTAGATCCAATAGTGCCATGACAACCTGCTGTGGCAGCAGTCATGTCCCCCCTCTCTCTGTTGGGCTATATCATAGTATGATTAGCATTTATATAGCTGCTATACTTTTTGCAGCTCTATACAATGTACAATATGGATATTTAACAAAGAGTTATTTCAACATAGAGTTCACATGTCAACCAGATAATCCCCAAATATATATATCAAGTGAAAACCAAAGAAAAAAGTTATCTGTGCTCTTCCCAAATCCCTATGCATATTTAAACAAATGTAGGTTATTTTGTTTCTCCAATAGCAATGAGAGACTATGGCCCACCTGCCACGTCAAGGCAAACCTCCCAGGTGGGTCGTACACTAACCTTTTACCTTGCTTTCTTGAGCTTATGGCACAAATATTTCTAATGAGACAGAAAGGGGTATTTTTATATACACCCCTACATGCTTATTAACCCCTAATATGGTTGTTGCTGCCGCCCAGGAGTGATGGGAGTTTGAGCGCAGGACTTGTTTTTTTTGTATATATATATCAAGTGCCTTTGATATACTGTGAGATGTAAGTAGCTTGTCTCATTTGAGGAAACAGTTTATGATTACAAACTATACCACAGCTAACAATATACTATGGACTGGGATATTCAGGACAGCCAAATAACCTGGATAATACATGAATTATCCTAATAGCTTCATCAAAATATATAGGTATGTATATATAAAAATACATCCTTACCCACAAACTGTACATGCATGTAGAGACATGTATCCACAAAAGGGTTAAATGGAACTCCTAAAAATAATAAAAAGAGTTTAAATAAATAATTTCTGCCCATTAGAGAAACATTTGCCAGGGCTGTTGTAGCACTATCTTAATTGACATAGTAACATAATTGGGACCTGATAGACAAAGGTTTAACGTGTCGCTGTAGGTGGCAAGTTATCATTCTGTAGCCCAAGGTGCATACTCTTTTCTTTTTTAGTGTGCTGTCATATACACTGTCCTAAAGTGAAAGAAAAATGCAGAGCTGCATATTGTATCCAGACAATATTTAGATAATGGAAAAGAGTGCAGCTTCCAATCTAGCAGCTGATACTTCAAACACCATAACAACATATGCATCCATGACCCCAAACTCAATTTGTTGTTGTAACTGTTTCAATTTTTACTTGTTCTCACCTTTTCTGGCAGGTCACCTCATAGCTTTCTATATAAGAGGTGTGATCATGTGACTGCACCCGATTGCCATTGCCACAACCTTAGAGGGCCTCCCATATTAGCATAATTGCTGGCATAATTGATGCACACACGTTTTGGCATCACACGGTTCTTTCTGGCCAGTCCCTGCCATCCCATTTTAGAGTTTTATCAGTGCCCTGTCATGGTTTCCATTTACTGGTAATCAGAGAGTGCATTTATCTTGTATTTCAGTTTGACTATTCTGACTTTGGCTTGTTGACCATTCTTATTTCTGGTATCCTTGATCTATTGGCCTGTCTTCTCGTACCTGTCTCATTTTGTATCCCTGACCTTTGCTTGTCTCTGACCATTCTATATATATATATATATATATATTTTTTTTTTTTTTAAATTACATTTATTAAATGTAATTCTTTATTTTTGTACTGTTAGGAATGCAGTGGTGCGACAATATAGGCTTATGCAAAAGCCATTTCATAACACTCGTGTCATATGATTTACAGAAAGGAAGAATATGTTAGTTAGAACATGTAGCCATTCATATATTGGTATCTGATAAGTATGCGGTGTCTCAGGGT